GATATATAGCCACCATAAGTCAGTCAAAAGCTGTAACTCAGGAAATCAAATTTTATGATCCTGTTTGCTCAAAAAAAAAAAAGCTTGATAGATTTTTAGTATACTCAACAGACTCCTGAATTCCAAAATATTCTTGTTTTTATCATATCAAGAGCTCATGTATCTCACAAAGTTAGACATTTAACTGTCTTTTGAACTTGTTTAGATTTTAATTGTTATTACATATAAGTGACATGAGTTTGAACAGATGCTAAACAAAAATAGCTGGGTATTAAAATCACTGAGAGCAGTTTTCTGAAATTCTTTTCATACTTTCAATGCACATTTTGCTTGGATTTTTAACATAGTATACTGATATTACACAAGGCAAGTTCATTTGTAAAAAAAAAAAAAAGTGGCAACGGACATCTTGCATTATTAAGTTTTCCTGTCCTCAGAGAATTTTTGGTAATCTGCCAAAATTTGGAGGGCCTGTAAAGTTCTAATTGATGCTTCTATCTGCCCTAAATGTGAATGAATGTTTGCTGTATTTTTACCATATGGTATTGTGGGACATATTCTTATACATTTTACTAAACGTTTTAAGTTGACCTGAAGAATTTTAATGACTATTCTAATGAGAAACACAATTAAAAATGGATTTACATATGTTTCTATTTCTCTTTCACCTACTGCTAAGAGTATGGACTATAACAGCTTATTTTTGGAAAAAATATCTATCCAGAAATAAAATAATGATTATTGTATAACACTCAGACGTTTCAGAAACACACTTCACAGGTAATATTACTTGTGCTTCTAACAGCATGTCTAGGGAACAGATATTATTGACATCATTCTATAGCCTGAGTAACTGAGGCCTACAGGAGTTAACTGACTTATGCAAAGCCATGTAGCTATTACGTAGGGCAAATGCATTGGAACAGGCCTTCTGATTCCAATCCTCAGACTCCTTGAGGATGGGTAGCAACTGAGTCTCCATTTCTTGTCATCTTGATTGGTTTTGGTTTCTAGGAGTTTTGTTCTTTTCCAACCTTCATCTCCTCAATTCATGTAAGTGCTGAATTAATTAGGGTCGATTTTAGGGGCCACAGGTTCCCATCCAGAGGCAGAGATGCAGTATCAAAGAAGCCAATTCTATCCCAGTCCAAACGCATTCTGGCAGAAGTTCTGAGTTTGGAGAGTATCTGGGAAACCTGGCCCATTCTAAGATTTTGAGCCCCTTGTGACAAATCCTAAAACAGAATTCACAGGGAGCTCTAACTTGCCGTGTGATTGATTTAGGGATCCTCAGAATGAGAACCTTCAACTGTCCCCCTACCTTTCACAGGAGTCTTAAACACAGGGCCTCTAAACAGTCAACTTCTCAGTAGGCCTGTCCCTGCCCATTCCTGCTCAGATGACTCAGGAATACACCAGTTTCACACAAACTGTCTCCGGTTTTATAGTCCTGGTATGACCATGCTGGTTCATATTACCCTGACTCTAAACCTCAAAAACATTGGGTTCTACTCAGAATGGCAGAGGCAGAAGTTGTCTCTTGATCTCCTTAGCGTGGTGGGGAATCATGCAGCCATCCATTGCTGTGTGTGTTCTGTGCATCCCAAGCCCTGCTGCCCAGAAAATGACAGCCCCATCTTGCTAAGAGAGAGGGGAGGTTGAGCCACCTCCCACGGAACTGTGGCTGTTTACTTTGCGTATGTCACAGCCTTTTTTTGGTCCTGCAGTGCAGCACTAAGACTATGAAGAAGAGAACATTCAAAGAGCAATCCTTTCCGCCTCCACACCGGGAGGACTTTGGGCCTATTTGGGAAGGGAGAATAGAGCTAACTGAATCGTCCGTTAAACCTGACAGACGGGATTAGGATATTTGCTGTGGAAAGACCAGCACTGATTGTTCTAAACCGCTGCCCTGTCTGTTTGAATTAAGATTTGACATTATTCTTCTTTTACAACAAGCTGTTAAAGAACAACTCCTTCCCTATAGAAATAATAATACTATGCCCAAAACCATACCATTATCTCTTTCATGGAAACTTACCAAAGACAGATCCTACTAATTTTTAGATCCTGTTATATTAGCATGAAAATTGGATAACATTCAATTAAGGTGAGTATTAATATGTTTTCAGATCGCTTTATTTATCCTTGATATGGTAAGTGTTTCATATGCTGGTGCTCTGTAGTCATAGTGTCAAAAACGTGTATTTGGTAGATAATTTTCAATAATTATACAATTCCAAATGATCTATTCAACTACCAGATGTATTTGGTAACAGCAAAATCACTAACAAAAAAGATCCTTTAAAATTATTTCTATTTTTCTAAAACAACTGATTTTAATTTTTTGAAATCAGTTTAATAATATGCAGTTAAACAATATCTAGTTTTATAATGGCTTTTTTACATAAATTCTCCATTTCAACTAAATTAAAATATATATCAAATATCTTAATAATATAAATTTTGGAGGAGTAGCAGAACACTTATTTATAACACAATCTTAAAGTATTAACAAACAATTCTGAGGCAAATTGAACCAAAACTGAAATAATTAAATTGATATTCAGCCAGAAATGACCAAGGTTTTATGTTAAGTGAGTCACTTTTTATTACCTAAATATGTCCTTTTATTTTTTTTAAGATTTTATTTATTTATTTATATGAGAGAGAGAGAGAGAGAAACAGCATGAGAAGGGAGAGGGTCAGAGGGAGAAGCAGGCTCCCCGCTGAGCCGGGAGCCCGATGTGGGACTCGATCCCAGGATTCCGGGATCATGACCTGAGCCAAAGGCAGTCACTTAACCAACTGAGCCACCCAGGCACCCTAAATATGTCCTTTTAAATTGTAATTAAATTGTTCTGTTTTCACACATACGGATATTTCATGTATGTCTTTTCCTTAGACAATGACTAAATGGGTCATCTGCACTGATACCAGCATTCTTACATTAATCCCAGATACACATAGGCCACAATTGAACAGGATTCCAGAATGTGAAGATAACTGTGAAAAACATTACTTAGAGTTTGGTGGATTTATTAGGAAAGTAATCTCTGTTATTTTAATTAGCATTTGTAGTCTTTCCAGGATAGTAGTGGACCGTTGGGTTTGTCACCTTTTGACAGTTTCTACTTACTGTTAAGTAAACTGAACCCTAGTTTTGATCAGTTTGTGTGGGGTAAGGATCACATATAATGAGCTCAGTTTAGCATCTGTAAATAATCTGTATTCACTGTGAATAAGATTCTCAGGCAGGTGATGCATGCTACATGCTACAATAGTATCTAAGATGATGACAGGCTCTGTGGGTGTGTCTTATGTGTTAGTGCTGTGAAATGACTCTCCCAAGATCATATGCTCTGACTCTTGAACTTCTGGAAGCTTCTAGAAGCTTTATTTGCTCTTTCAAAATGGTACTCTGATTCCTTCTTCAATTGATTTTATCTGCCATAACCAGTTTAACTGTCAAAAAACATTTCTTTGATACATAACTCCCTTATTCTAGGACACCACTGCCAACAGGATATTGTAGAGATCTCTAAGACTACTAAAGATTTTTTTACTGTCAGGCTCCAGTCAAATTCTCAAAATCATGCTTACTGATCACCATTGTCGTTCATTCATTTTCGTCATTCAACTTGGATTTTTATCCATCCTTTAAAGCAGGTTAAAGACCTGTTCATCTGTGAAGCCTATGCGTTTAGACCAGCCCTGGACAGTGATTCTTACCTTTTCTCACTCATTAGCACTTACCATCTGCTGCCTAGCGTTGAGACCTATCTTTGCCATCTCTCAATGAGACTGGCATTTTTTGAGAGCAAAGATTATGTATTATTATACTTTATTATAAACCCCTCCCCCCCAGGACCTTCCTAAATGCCTTCTACATAGTAAGTTATCTGTAAAAGAAAACTTGATTACTTGAAAAGGCATAGCCATATCATTCATTCATTCATTATTGAATTATTCAACAAATGTTTTTTAAATTTCTACTATAAGCCATGCATTGTGTATACAGCAAGGAACAACATGGACATGATCGCAGCTCTATAGAATTTACAGTTGCTGGGCCTGATATTTTCTGTCCAATTATTTTTCTTCATTTCTATTTCATTTTAAGAAGATGTAAGACTTAACAGGATGTTTGATCTTTCTTTTATTAGTATTTCTGTATATTATTCTGTATACTGTATTCTATTTCTATATATTCTGTATACTAACTTACTACCAAAAGTTAGTTAATAAAAACTTGTATCTTTACAAAGTAAATATTCAGTTTACTCAGCTCCAGAGTTTGATCTTACCTTTGACTACTCCCTCGAAGCTGAAAAAAATATAGGTCAAAAAAAAAAAAGTATCACGAGAAACTCTTTTCCTTTATTCTTTGTATTTTGGGAGAATAGCAAAGATTGTGATTTCCCAGCTCTTCATTGGGGGCGTCATGCTCTACTTTGGTCTCGCCGGAAACTTTTATTCAAAAGGTAGCTGAGAATATACGATCATACCCAGGATTAATTTGACCTTTTCTATATTCCATGTTTTGATTAGCTGGCTATTCGACTCATATCCCATTTACAGACAAATTGTGAAAGGCTTGAATGGCAAGCCAGAAATATATAGAATATTGAAAAGGTCACTGTGATTTAGCCCATAAGCACAGCATTGAAAATATATGACAAGTCATTATCACACTTAATCCCCATGACAAAGACTGGGTGAAGATTGGAAATTATTCCAATTAAAATATTCTTGTTTCATACCGAAGGCTGAAGTGGCAAAGCTCAAATGGCCTCTTGACTCCTTTTTTTGGTGATAACTTAATAAGTTAGAAAGGAATTGTAATTGAATTAAACAGGACAAAAAAAGAAGTAACAAGCTCCTTCTGATAGAGGGAATAATATAATGACTTTTCTAAACACTCTAATTACACATGAGTAAGACAGGTACAGCTACAAAACCAATTCAACAGCCACCCCATGCTCTCTTTTTATCTACAGCATAGCTGTCAGTCAGATGGGAACTCCATTTATTTCCATGGGAATGAAGGCAGTGAGTTCAATTTTGCCACCACCCGGGATGTAGACCTTTCTACAGAGGATATTCAAGAGCAGTGGTCAGAAGACTTTGAAAGCCAGCCTACAGGGTAAGTAATTGCTATCCCATGCTGTGTATAGCACTTATATTTATTCCACTGGACATATTTTAAATGCATATTATTAAGTAGCAAAAGCATAGTTAAATCAATATTGATTATTCGTCTTTTAAAAGATTTATTTATTTATTTGAGAGAGAGAGAGCAGGAGGAGGGGCAGAAGGAGAGAGAGAGAATCTCAAGCAGACTCCATGCTAAGTGCAGAGCCTGATACGGGGCTACATCTCGTGACCCTGAGATCTCAACCTGAGCCGAAATCAAGAGTCGGATGCTTAACTGACTAAGCCACCCAGGTGCCCCAAAGCCAATTGTTCCTTAGAGACAGGACAAATGGTTAGGCTTGTCCTAAACATTCTTTATTAAATAATCAACTATTTTATGTGTATTAAAAATTTATAATTGCAAATACTTTTTAACTGCAGTTGAAGCACTTATATTTCATCTTCGTTTATTCACCTTTACTGGGAAAATTTTTTTTTAATGTGTATGGAAGACAAAATCTTTCCACTACTATTATATTGAGACTGTCAGTCATCTTCCTGGGGCCTGAGATTTATAGACAGAAATCTGACCAGCAGCCTGAGCTGCCACTGCTGCTGTGACCCTTTGCTGCCACATCGGGGTCCTTCACTGTTGAAAGCTAGATTTCTGCTGTGGCTGACCCAGCCTTGCATCAACGAGGTCCAGCCTGTGGGGCAGGCCAGGTATGCCTCTGACGGAGGCTGACACTTTGAGGGACCTCATTCCTTCAGAGCCTAGCAGTGATGTCACAGCCTTCAGTCCATAAAGTTCTTCTCCTTGGAAGTTCCTGACCCCCTTGCAGTTCCATGTCAAGTGTGGCTCGGGTGTCTCCTTGAGGGACCAGCAACTACTACTCCTCTATTCCATCTCCAGGATTTCCCCAAGAGTCAGGCTGCTTGCCTTCCTAACCCTTACACTACACAGGCTCATTCCACTCCCCGTACAAACCAGTGGGCTTTGATGGGGTCCAGAATTTTGACAACGCAAGCAAGGCTTCCTTACCTACCTTTCGGAGATAGGGAACCATCACCAGTGGATCAGTTCTCCCTTTCTCATTCCTGATACAGAAGACCAATTCAAACCCCTTCCCTGGTTATGGAGCTTGACTGCCTATGAGAGAGTCCCAAATCTTGAAGCACAAGAGATTCATTGACCTCCACTCCTTCATCTCTCCAAGCTAATACCATCCATGTGGAAGTGATGAGCCATCCTCTTCAGGGAGACCCACATCCCCTGGGGACGCAGATGATTCTCAGCGATACCCAGCCCCCATCCCACTAAAGCAGAGAGAGAAACACAAATTTAATCTCCAGTAGGACAACTCTCATACCCACATTAATCCCTGTCTATCTATCTACCTCTTTTCCTCAGTCTTCAGTGTTACTAGTCTTATTCTTTTGGGGAGAGAGAAAATTTATTTTTAATTATGGCTTTCATACCTACCTATTCCCTGTCCCACAATGCTTTATTTTCCTTTTTTTTTCAGCTTGTTGTATTATCAAAGCTTGTCTGTAAAAGAACAAAAGATTTTTAGGATGGATTAATGGTCCATCCAGCAATCTGCTAGTAACATCAATGAAGATTTAGTATGAACAAACAGAAAACCATGAGTTAAGCTTAGAAAGGAATTGATTTTATATTAGAAGAAACCCAACATATCTTAGAAAACTAGTGTACTAGTCCAGAAACATAGCTTGCAAAAAATTATTTCAATTAACAGAGTAGACATTCCATTTTCACAGAGCACTAATGATATGAGAGAATTTGTGGCTAAACTAAATCATTCATCCCCCAAAACAAAGAGGGAACTAAAAGTATTTATTCTTGAAAAAAGAACTAAAGTTAGGACACACACAGAGGAACATCACAAATTCCATTCACTCAGTAACTCAGGTGGTTTCAATTATGCTCTTTGGCCACTTCTCAGTACTGAGGATTGTATCAGGGTTTTGGTCACAGTTAAGAGGCTAATACTTTCAGGCCATGGCATTGTCAGCAGATCTCTGTTCCGATAACATAGAATAATGTACTTGACAAAAGCACCTGTGCCACTCTAATTGCTGTACAATTAATTCCTCTAAGTTCTAAAAGCAGTAAATTATTCTAGCAACTACATCTTAGGTTTATTTGTAGCTTTTCCCTTAAGATATCAGGCAACACCCCCCAGATTTACTCATTTATGCTTTCATCTGGTTGCCCAGTTATCCACCTTGGTGTTATATCATAAAGGTGTAAAAGGATAATGAGAGGATCTAGTGTTTTCTGTTTGCAGTGATGATAAAAATGCTGGTTTAATCCATGAGTGTGTGTGTGTGTGTGTGTGTGTGTGTGTGTGTGTGTGTGTGTCCTCTCTGCATCCCATTCACCCACTCCCAAATGTTGCTTTATTGGTCCAGGAAAGAGTGTTGTCATGTTCATTTTTAATCATAGCTTCGGAGAAAAATAAGCCCATCACAAAATCAAATTAATGTGAAATATTTTTACCTAGGGAAAGAGCTGACAAAGAAAAACAGATTAGGAATTTGGTAGTGAAATTCTTTTTTTTGTTTGTTTTTAAATTTAATTTAATTTTATTATGTTATGTTAGTCACCATACGATGCATTACTAGTTTTTGATGTAGTGATCCACGATCCATTGTTTTCGTATAACACCCAGTGCTCCATGCAGTACATGCCCTCTTTAATACCCATCACCAGGCTAATTCTTGATGTGTTTTGTTTTACCAGCCAGATTTACTAAATATTTGTCTCATTCTTCAACTCAATCATCATTACCCACACTGATAATTTACCATTATTCGCTCACCTGCTGAAATAGAAAATGTAGATAATAAATCCCCACTGTGCTCAAGAGCAAGCAATTGAATTGATTGAGCTCTGTAGTTTTGAGGTGACTTTTTTAAAAATAAAAAAAAATTTAAATAAATTAATTAAATTGTTAACCTGTATATAATATTTTCACTTCTCTTAACTATGTTTTTCTCCCATAAGAATTATGAAAGAGAAAAATGAATATGCAATCCTCTCTAATAATTTCAAAACACTTCATATGAATGTTAAGAAAGAAAAGAAATACACTATTTTTTGAATCTGGCTTCCCAAATATTCCTGTTTTCCTACCACTTGAGTCAAACTATTTAATCTCATATCACAAGGGTGCAAGAGCTGTTTGCCAGTCATATCACAAAGTTGTCCTAAATCCAATGTTGATAGGTTTATTTTTTAAGTGGGATCGTAAAGGTTTTTTTCTCTTTTTCCTAAGGAAAACACATCTGTTACTTCAGCAAGAGAGAAACTTTAATGGATACACTGATAATTTATGTGAATCTTTCTCAACTTTGGCTTAACCTTACAAGCACATCATTTAATTAACAACCACCATATCTCACCTAGCTGAGACTGCCTTTAGGTGGGAGAGAGCTTTGTAGAAAAACACGCTGCTATCATATAGATTTTGTATACTTCTCTTCCATCCCAAATGCAAACATTGTATGTTTTTACTATTCAAATACCTTTACTATTCAAATACCTTTACTGCTGTCACTATTCATGTTAAAGAGGAACTCCACAAATGTAATGAATGTTAAAATATTGAATCAAGGCATCATGCTTCAGTCTTCTCCACTTGCCCCAGATCCTTGGAAATTACAGAAAATGAGCAAACATATCTATAATGACACTGTAAAACAAACAAAAAAAATGTGCCTTAGTTGGGTCAGGAATTATAAAGGACTGTACACCAAAAGAGAAGAGGAAACGATCTGATGGAAGGAGGGAACTATAGCCCCAAACACGTGTTGAATAAGACATTAAAAAGATGTCTCAGCACTGCTCCAGGACACAGATGCTGGTCACATGAATGAGGATGGGGCTCTGAGCTACCGCTATAGGGATTGCCAAGGAGGTGAGTCCCTCAGTACACCCACTTCCAAGTAGAGGCTTCTATTCCCAGGAACAAGCAATGAATGTGGATACTTGGAATGGAGAAGCAGGGCAATCCAGGTGACTGGAAACCTCAAGGGGGAACAGAGACCCCCTCTCATGGTAGTCACACCTAAAGGCCCATCTGCCCCCATCAATAACCATTTTTATACCAAAATAAAAAAACAATAACAGATACAAATTTAAGCAAATTATCTAGAATCAACAAATCTGAGGAAAATCAGCTCCATTTAAAAATCATCCAACTAAAGAAATAAGGTCTGAGAAAACAGAAGTAGTAGAATAAACAAATGGAGATTTTATAAGAAGCATAATTAATATCCTTAGAGGGTTAAGAGTGCATACTGCATTTGAGAAATTAAAACACATTTTATTAGGAAGCAGAGATGTGAGAAATGAAAATATATGATTGTTGAAACAAATTTAATGGGTTTTCTTTCTCCACTGAATATCAGCATAGGCATAGCTGAAGAACAAATTAATAATGAGCTAGAAATTTGAGTCTTGAAGTCTATCCAAAACTGAGGGTCACTGGATATAAGGAAAAAAGATGTAAAGTATGGGGGGGGGGGAAATGGCTCTTCTGTTATTAGAAAAATAGGAATTCCAGAAAGAGAGGTCAGAGGGAATATATGGAATGAAATATTCAAATATATTACTGAAGAAAAGTCCCCAAGATTGAAAAAAGAAGAAAGAAAAGACATAGTTCCTGTGAATGAAATGTTTAGCAAGATGAATGGGAACATATCTAGTCCTAGAGCATCAAGAAGAAACTTTAGAACACTGATAAAAGAAGAAATCCTAAAAGCTTCTTGGTGAGATTTATATTACTTTTCTTGGTAGCACTAAGCATAAGTTTAAAAAAAAATGAAGAAGTTATCTAGTTCTGAAAAAATTTTCAGAACATAAAATTCTTCTCCAGTCAATTATCATACCAGTATTAGGAAAAAACAAAAACCTTTTTATTTCTATACATATATATGAACTTCATGGTAACCATGTTTTTTGTACATAACCAAAAACCTACA